GGGCTCCCCCTCTATCCCGTGTGCCCCCCAGGATGCCGCAGCTGAGCCTCTCCTGGCTGGGACTCCACACAGCGGCAGCCTCCCCATGGCTGCTCCTGCTGCTGGTCGGGGCCTCCTGGCTGCTGGCCCGCCTCCTGGCCTGGGTCTGCACCTTCCATGACACCTACAGCCGCCTCCGCTGTTTCCCAGAGCCCCCAAGGCGGAACTGGTTCTGGGGCCACCTGGGCCTGGTGAGTGTGGACGCAGGAATGGTCTGGGGCATCAGGATGGGTGGGCCTCCTGAGTGGCTGGTAACAGGGATCGGGGCTTTGGCTGGGGTCTGGGACATTAGGGAAGAGGGCACGTCAAGAGGGACCCTCTCTCCTTCCTCCCCAACCAGGCCACCTCCTTTCTGTCCCCTCCATGCCCCAAGCCCCTTCTTGGTCTGGCCTTCCCTCACCCTAAGCGTGCTGTGGGTCATGACCCTGCCTGTCCTGCTCACCTTAGTGCACCTCCAAGGGGCCATCAGGGTGGGCTGCACAAAACTGGGTCCGCGGTGTGCCCACAGTCTCACCTGCTGGTCTTGAGGCCTCCTCAAGGCCACCACCCAGTGTCTGCTCCCTGCATGGCCCATCATTGTAGGCCTCAGACATCAGCCCCTTTTGTCCCCCAGCAGGGCCATGGCTGGACTAGGGGAGAGGGTGGGCAGTCTCCTCTTCCTTTCCTTGGGCACCTTCCTTTCCTTCTCTTGTCAAGATTCATCAACGGGCCCCATGGCCCAACTTGGACCAAAGTTGACCAGTTTGCCCTTCGGAGGGAGTCACCGTGGCCTGTGCCTTAACGGCCAAGCTTCCTGGGAAAGGGGCTCCTGGGCCACCATCCCAGCCTCATCCCCAGAGTCCCTTTCTCCATGCCGCACGGACTCCGTGGCCACAATCGCACTTTGGACTTTGTCGTCACCCATAAAGGTGCCATGTCCAAAGCCACTGCCCTGAAGGTTGGATTCTCTGCCTGCACCCCGGTTCCTTCCAGCTTCTCTTCTCTTCTTCTTCTCCCCTGTTAGACCAAGAGCTTCGTCCTGATTTTACTTCCTTGAATCCGTCTAGCTGAGACTCCCATCTTTGGTGCATGGGCTGAAGTCTCTTGCCAGTTGGGTTTTCCTTCACAGCCCTTTAGAAAACCTGTGCCTTGTTTGAGCTCAACCACCCATGTCCTCTGCTGTCTACTTCACAACGATGCTAGAGAAGGTCATAACATGGGGCAGAAATATGGCATGGGAACCCCCAGCTGCCCGCCTCCAGGGTGCCTCCTTCTGCACTGTGACTTCCATCTGCTCATCCTGCCGTCTCCGTGTGCACCACGGGCCGTTTTCAGTCATTGCCTCCACTTCCCTGCTCAGTCCTCGCCTGATCCAGTGTGGTCCCTGTCCCCATCCTGCTCCTGTGAGATGACCACCACCCCCAGTTTCCTAAATTCCACCTTGTCCTGCTTCCAGCATCTCTGATATTGCTGACCACCTGGACCTCCTGGAACCTCCTTTTCCTCTCGGCTCTAGGATATTGCTCTCCTTTGGTCCCCCTGCCATCCCAGGGCCCCCCTGCCTGCCTCCTTGGCTCTGCCTTTCCTTATGGGGAGCCTCCAGAGACCTAACCCCCCCTCCCACTTCCTCTCTCCTACGGCCACCTTCTTAGCCAGGGCTCCAAGCCCCAAGATCATTTCTCTCCTGGGCCTGAGACTCCGTGTCCAGCCTCATGAACACCTCGTTCCACTACGTCAGAGTCTGTGCTCACGGCTCTCTCCCCCATCCTGCCCCTGCCTTCAGTGGAGCCCATCCTTCTAGTTGCCCACCGCCCACGCTTTAGGGCTCTTTGCCCCTCTGTTCTCTCACCTGCCATCTGGCGCTTCAGCGCATCCAACTGAGCTGCCTCATCATTTCTCTTGAGGCGTTCCCTCCTTGCGTCTTCCTGTCACCCCAGCCCCCTCCGCTACCATCTTTCTCCAGGAAGCCTTTCCCAGCCCACTTCCTGGTCTCAGGGCCCCTCTTGTTCCCTGTTGTTCTCTCTCTGTCTCTTTAGCCCTGGAGAGGTTTTTTCCTGAAATTTCATTTTTGATCACCACACTTCTTGGCTGAAGACCATTTAGTGACTGCACATTGTTCTGAAGAGAAAGACTAAATGTTGCCTGGCTGGGATTCCGCTGCCCTGCCCAGCCCCAAGCGTGCACTGGAGACCCCTGACTCCTGCTTTATCTCCTCAGTGAGTCAACAAACCCTTTCGACCTCAGGGCCTTTGCTCATGCTCCTCTTTTGCTTGGAAGCTCTTTTGCTTCCCTCCCTGGGTCACCTGGTCATTTCATCCTTATTCTCCCATTTAGTCCAAGTGTCCTTCTACAAACTTCCCTGGACCTCCCAGACCTTGGCCTCTGAGTTGGCCCTGGTTGCACTCAAATAGTCAGTTGTCCAATTGCTTGTTTATTATCCATCTCTCCCAAGGATAGTAGCACAGGGAAATGTGATGTTGATGGCGCCAGCCCAGGAGCTGACATACGGTAAACACTTAATAAATGTTTGATGTGTGGTGGAAGCCATACCTCAGGCCTGGGTGAGCGTGCCAACACCTCCTTTGTTCATCCAAGATAAGGGAAGGAATGTCCAGCTCATCCGCAATCCTCCCCGAGACCAGCTCATCACAGAACAGGACGTCCCAAGCTCATTGTGAAGGTTGCTAGAGATTCTGGGTCTTGGAATGTTCTCAGTGAGCCCTGGAGGCAGGCAGAATGTTACAAAATCACTGCAGCTCCACCTCCCCCTCTGAGGGCTCAGCCATGGAGGCTGGACTTGGTCACACTTTTATCCTCCAGCCTCTCTTGCTGTGTGATGTTGGCCAAGTCACTCTCCCTCTCTGATCCAATCTCATCCAGTGCCCCAGGATCTTCAGGCAGCAGGGAGCAGGTCACACAGGTGACAGTGACTTATGTTCACCTGCCTAGAGTACTTTGCGGGTACTTGAAAGGCTTAGATGGGTCATTCTGAGTGCCTCACCGATAAGTGGCCCCACATCCTTCTCCTCCTGGGGGATTTGACTTCAGTTTCTTCATTTGTAAATGGCATGAGTGATGGGTGACGTCAGAAGAGACAGACAGATGATGGATAGGGCGCACTATGCATAAAGCCGGGCCTGTAGAAGGGGCCCATAGGTGGGAGCTGCCCTCCTGATTGGGGCCCGCAGGGGAGGGGCTGCCGGGCTCAGGTCTGCACACCGTTCACTCTGCGAAGAACCAGAGGCCATGTGGACCCATCAGGACATGAAAGGATGTGGGAGCCAGTTACAGGGACAAGTCCCGAGGCCACTCTGCTGCCCACAGCCTCCCCCACGGGCATCTCCCCCTGGGGCCGGAACCACCCCCAGGGGGAGAACAATCTGACTTCCCCAGCCCAGGCCAGCCTCTGGGGGCAGAGAGCTCACCTCCTCCCTGTGTCTGGGAAGCACCCTGGGCCACGAAGGGAAGGAGCAGGGGAAGCAGAGATTCTTTCCTCTGCACAGAATCCGGACACACTGTCCCCCGGGGCTGCAGGGGGCCTGCCCTGCCTCACTGGGGCGGTGCTGGCTGCCACCTCGACTGCAGGTGACCCCCCCCTTTTCAGAGCTCGAGGCTCTTTGTCAGCGTGTGGTCACCTACTCACAGGGTTTTATGATCTTGGGCACACAGAACTAGACTGAGCCACCCCCAATCTGTGTGGTCAGGGTGGGTCAGGGGAGACGGGCTGGGGGGTGGGCAGAGGGAAGCAAGCCATTCAAGCAGTCTGGAAGGATTCTTGGAGGAGTTGCTGGAAGTGGGTCTGGAATGATGAGCAGGACTTTTTAAGCAAAGAAGGGAAAACGGGTTCTGTGGAGAGGAGTAGGGTGCTTGAAGGCCTGGGGTTGAGAGAGCAAGTGGCCAGCCTTTGGGCGACGAAAAAGAGTCTCTTGCAGTGACAGTGATGGCAGAGGAAAGGAGAGAAGAGTGGGGTGGGAGGGGTCTCCAGACTGGGGAGGGGCAGGGGTTGGTTGTGAGGGTGATGGGGAGCCATCAAAATCAGAGGTGCAGAGCTGGACAGAGAAACTGGGGCAAAGAGAGAAAGATGCAGTGAAAAAGTGAGAGAGAGAGAAACAGAGGACACAGAGAGAGATAAACAAAATACGTGTGTACATATCTGTATCTGTCCATCTGTCCATCCATTATCCATCTATCATTTTTCCATCTACCATCTAGCATCCATCTATTCATCATCTAAATATTTACCCATCATCTTTTTATTTACCTGTTATCTATCATCTATCTATCTATATCTATCTATCTATCTATCTATCTATCTATCTATCTATCTATCTATCTATCTATCTATATCTATCATCTATCTAATCTATTTCTATCCATCCATTATCTACCTATGCCTCCACTTATCATTTATCCCATTTATCCATCTACCATATAGTCATTTATGTCTCCCTCCCTCCCTCCCTCCATCCATCCATTATCTATCTATCTATCTATCTATCTATCTATCTATCTATCTATCTATCTATCTACCTATCTATCTATCTATCATCTATCATCTGTCTAAACAAACAGAGAGATGAAGGGGTTGGAGGGGCACATAAATAGACACAAAAGACAGTGACCAACAGAGAAAAGCTGACTTAGTGAGATGCAGAGAGGTGTAGACCAATAATCCAGGCGGATGGGAGAAGGGGGTGAGTGGGACATGGTGGGTAGTGGACGCTGGTGACATCTGAAGCCCCCTGCACTGGCTTCACCCCCGCCCATCCCCAGGCCAAGAACAACGAGGAGGGCCTGCGGCTGATGGAGGACCTGGCCCACTGCTTCCAAGACGTCCACCTCTGGTGGCTTGGGCCTTTCCACCCCATCGTGCGGCTCATCCACCCGAAGTTCGTTGTCCCCCTGCTCCAGGCCTCAGGTATTTCTCCCAGGAGCTCCAACCCCAGCTCTTTCCTACCTCCTCTCCAAGCCCCTCCCACTCCTGAACAGACCAGGTTGAGCAGGGGAATGGGCAGCATTGACAGAGACCTGCTTTTAACCCTCTAGGTGACTCTGGGCAGGCCCCTGGCTTTCTCTGGTTGTCAGTCTCAGTGTTGAGTGGTGGAAGCTCAACACTGTTGGTCTAAGTAAAGACAGGTAATCTGTTGACTGAAAAGTTCAGAGAGGGTCATCTTCAGGCATGGCTGGATCCAGGTCTTCAAACAATGCCTTTGGGAATCTGTCTTCATCCCCTAGTTTTGTGCTCCTCTGTGATGGCTTTACTCTCATGCTGGGAAAGGTGAGTCCCAGAAGCTCAGTCCCCATGGAAAAGTGAGCTCATTGCCCACAGATCCAGAAAAAGTCTCAGGATTCCTTTACAATGGCCAGGCCTGGGTCCCAGGGACCAATTTCTTATCTAACCACTTCAACTTGATTGAATCAGATTCAACTTGAGGCTGAGGGTCCCATGCACTACTCTGGAGCAGAGGTTGGGGTGGCATGGCCTCCCTCCTAACTAGTTGGGCAGAGAGTGGAGCAGGCATGGGGTGCTGATTTCAGGAGCAGCGGGTGGAGGTTGGACAGGCTGATAGCACAGATGTTGATCCGCCAGCATCCTTGTGAGGTGGGCATTCCCTGGGTGAGGAGACTGAGGCCTGGGGGCACAGTGGCTTCCCCAGGCCACACCACATGCTGCAGCTTCCCCCTCGCTCTGTGCGCTCTCCGCCGCCCTGGCGGCCTCTGATAGGAGGTGCTTCTAGCTGGAGGAGACCTGAGGTGGGGATATGACCAGAGTGCTGTGGGGAAGCTCCTCCAGACCTCAGCTTGGTCGGCTGTATCTGGGTGGCCTGGGGGGTGGTCTAGAGGCTGGAGGGGACAAGCGTAGCTCTTCAGGGAGGGTGGAGCTCAGCATCCGAGCGGGTAGCCTCCTCAGGTCTCTTTGAGAATAGAGGAGTCCCTGACCCCAAGTGTTTAATGTCGGGTGTAGGGTGGAGGAGGGCCCTGGAGAAGTCTAGGTCATACCTGGGCCATGTCTGCAACATTAATGGGACCTTATTTTGGTCCTATCTGGGGTCCTTCTGTGGGACACATTGAGGTCACATCAGACTGTCACAGGCTCATGTCAGAGGATGTTGTGTCACGTCAGGACATATTAACCTATGTCGGGGCCACGTCAGATGTCCCAGGATGTTAGAGAGGGCTGGGGCAGGCACAGTGTCCTGGCCCCCATTAAGGTGTTTGTTGAGTGCTGGCCTGAGCTCGGGGGTTTAGGACGTGTTGGACCACGTAGGGGCCGTGTCAGGTGGCGCAGGGTGTGCTCTGCCACGCGAGGGTGTGTCCGAGCCTGGAGGGTGTGTCTGCGGGCTCTGCCTTTGCTCTGCTCTGTGCTGAAGCCTGGTCTGCACCCTGCTCGCCTCCCCCTCCTTCCTGTTTCCTCTGCTCTTGGCCCCATTCCTGCTGTGCTGGGCGTGCAGTGGTGGGATGCCAACCCCTGGCTGGGTGCCTCCAGACCTGCCAGAGTCCCTCCCCTCCCCGTCCATGGACCCCGATGGTTTATCTCTCATGTCAGCCACCGTTGCACCCAAGGACAACATCTTCTACAATTTCCTGAGGCCCTGGCTGGGTGAGTGCTGTGGGTGAGGGGGATTGGGGGCAGCTTGGGGCCTAGGGAAGGCGATGCGCTTGCCCACTCCCCACGGCTGCCTCTACAGGGGACGGGCTCCTGCTGAGTGGTGGGGACAAGTGGAGTAGACACCGCCGCCTGCTGACACCCGCCTTCCACTTTGATATCTTGAAGCCTTATATGAAGACTTTCAGCAAGAGCACGGACATCATGCATGTGAGTTCTTTGGGCTCAGGGTCCCGGCTGGAGCCTTGAGAAAGGAGGAATCTTCCCAGACACATATGGTCAGGAGTCCTGGCTCTGCTGGACAGCTTTGGGGCCACTGCCTTTCCTCTCTAAGCCTCTTTCTTTCTCAACTGTAAAAAAAGGGATAATAATTATTCTGAAATGTGGTCAAGATGATGTAATAGAATCATATCTCTGGCACATAGTAGGCACTCAGAAGGCTTTGGTTTCTAGTCTCTCCCACCAAAGCTCTGTAAATTCAAGACAGTAATGATGAAAAGTACATAGTAGCTCTTTCTCTATAACTTGTCACCTTAAAACTCACAGGCTTGAAAGAATTAGTGTTATTGCCCATGAGATAATTGGATCATTTGAGTTGTTCCCTCTTCTCTTGGCTGGGATCCTGTGTCTGTGGTCACGGCTGGGTTCGACAGACAGATCTGCTAACCCAGGCTCAGCTCTGCCACATGTTTGGGGCTCGACTAGGTGCTGTTTGGTATAGGATGGCCTTGGTGGGACAACTGGACTCCTGCATTTGTTCCCTACCCCCCAGTAGGCTAGCCAGGGCTCGACCGCATGGTGGGGGCTGGGCCCAAAGGAAGTGAACAAAATCGTGTAGGGCCTCTTGGAGCCCAGGTGCAGAAGGAGTGCATCATGACGTCCACTTTCTTCTGAAGCAAGTCCCATGTCCAGCTCAGATTCACGAGCTGGATAGAGAGGTTCTATCCCCTAATGGAAGAGCTGCAAAGCCCCATTGCAAAGGGTGAGGGTATAGGGTGAATGTAGCCACTGACCCCTGTAATAATGATGAAGATAATGATGAGAGCTAACAGTTATTTAGCACTTACTGTATACCAGAACTAAGGTACCAATTCCATGGCATATGTTGTCTAACTTATGAGATACAGATGATTATCATTGCCCCATTACAGATGATGAAATGCAAAGTCAGATAGGTTAGGGAGCGTGCCCAAGTTCACACAGCTGCAAGTGAGCTAAAAACCAGAGCCGGGCTTCTAATCTGGTTTGTCCAACAGTAAAGCAGGTCTTAATTGTTATTGAAGATTTGACAGGTGGACCCCAGAGGAGGGCAATGAGTTGCCCAGGGCACACAGAGCATCAGAGGCAGAGCCAGGACTTTAACCCAGGTCTCCTGACTCGGAACCAGGGGGTCTTCGTGACCTAAGAGGAATGGCTTCAATCCCACTGAAGGCCGTTCTTCCTTGGGGATGGGTGCCTGGGGCCAGGAGGCTGGGTGTGGGGCAGTACCTCTTGGCGGTTGGGGTGCGGGGTAGCTCCGGAGAGGCAGCTCTCAGCCACAGCTCTGCCCTTCCTCCATCCAGGCCAAGTGGAACCGCCTCATCTCTGAGGGCAGCTCCCGTCTGGACATGTTTGAGCACATCAGCCTCATGACCCTGGACAGTCTGCAGAAATGCGTCTTCAGTTTTGATAGCAATTGCCAGGAGTGAGTGCTTGCCGGGGGCCTGGGCACATGAGCCAGGGACCCAAGGCAGTAGGTGGGGAGGGAAGACTGATGGGCAATTGGGAGGGATACCCTGGAGGAGGTGGACCAGGGCTGGACAGTGAAGGACAAAGAAAGGAAAGAGAATGAGTGTCCCTTTGTATAGGTAGGAATGTTTGATAAAGGCTAGGAGGCTAGAATGAGCAAAGTGTGTGCCACACTGAAAAGAAGACACCTTGGAAATGAGGGTGGTAGGAGGAGGCAGGGGCTCGATCTCAAGGGGATTCAAAAGGCAGGCAACGAGATAAAAATTTTATCCTGAGGTTTCCAGGGAGGCATGGAAGGTGTTTGAGCAGATGAGAGTCAGGGTTAAAGCTGAGTTTGGACATCTGTTGAACAGATAGAGGATGCAAGGAGACCAGGAAGAAGAGGAGGGGTGAACTTGGTGGAGAAAATGGGCCTGATGTGGGAGAAACCAAGGAATAATGGACAGGACGAGATTTTGCATAGCAGAAAGAGGAGATAAGCATGATGACCGAGCTCTGCCCTAGGGTCTGGGACCTCAGGCAGTTCATAGAGGTGGGAGGTAGAGAGAGAAGCATGCTTGGAGGCCACCCTTTCCTGGATGGGACGTGGTCCTGGGATTCTGGCTGGGAGGTGCTCCCAGGGTTTCATGTGTCTTAGGAGCTGAGATTTAAGGCTCTCTCTGGCCTGGCTCTGCAGGCATCCCAGTGAATATATTGCTGCCATCCTGGAGCTCAGCGCCTTTGTGACCAAACGGCACAGGCAGATCTTCCTGCACATGGACTTCCTCTACTACCTCACCCCCAATGGGTGGCGCTTCCGCAAGGCTTGTGACCTGGTGCACGGATTCACAGATGCTGTCATCCAGAAGCGGCGCCGCAACCTCTTTAGTCAGGGTTCCCACGAGTCCCTCCAGGGCAAGGCTAAGGCCAAGACTTTGGACTTCATTGATGTGCTCCTACTGGCCAAGGTGGGCTTCTCTGGAATCTGAATTCAAGAGGCAGAATGGACTTTGATTTCAAATGTTAGACTGAAGGACTTGGAGTTGATTGGCACTGGGGAGCCACAGAAGGTGCTTGAGGAAGGGAGGGACAGATCTGAGATAAGTTTTAGACATGACTTTGTAGAAGGCTGCCTGGAAAGAATAAACAGGAGGCAGGAGACCAGGGAGGAGGTCTGTGGGGTGCTCTGGAGGTGCTGAGGGAAGGATCCTGCTTGGATGATAGAGCTTCAGGAACTGTCTCTGGTTAGGCTCAGGGGCTCTGAGAGCAGTTGTAATTTGGGTGGGGGGTGTCTTATTTTCTCTCCAGGATGAAGATGGGAAGGAATTGTCAGACGAGGACATCCGAGCTGAAGCTGACACCTTTATGTTTGAGGGTGAGGGTCCCAGTGTGGGACTACAGAGGGGGCAGGGTGTCTCCATCCCAGGGACTCGGCAGTGTGCCCTGGCCCACCCCATCCTTCCCCATCCTCCCCATGTTCCCTGAGGGCCTTAATGTGAAGACGCTGTCCACCTTCTGGTGCTGAAGCAGCCCAGAGGCCCAAGCCTGTCTGCCTGCCTCTCAGGCCATGACACCACGGCCAGCGGCCTCTCCTGGGTCCTGTACAACCTTGCGAAGCACCCCGAGTACCAGGAGCGCTGCCGCCAGGAGGTGCAAGAGCTCCTGAGGGACCGTGAGCCTAAGGAGATGGCATGGTGAGTGCAGGCGGCCGTGGCCTGTTCCTGAACCCGTTGGTGGCTCTGCTGCCCAGCTGGGGAAGGGGCAAGATCTTTTTGTGGACTCATCATTATTTCTCAGTGAGAATAGGAGCAGAGCCCAGAGGCAGGGTCTGGTTCCCAGCCTGGCTATCAGGGGAATGTTTGCAGGCTTTTGCAACAGAGAGATGTGTGTCTACACTTAACTGCTATGTGATTTTAATAAAATGAGTTCTCCTTCCTGAATACCACCTTTCTCCTCTGTAAATCTGGGTGGAGGACCAAGAAGCCCTCCCCTACAGGGCTGCTGGAGAATTGCAACAATATATCTAGAATAGATGCCACCCAGCACATACTTAGTAAATGAACTCCTTTGCTCCTTTGCTTTTCTGCCTGAAGTTGCCATATTTTCCCCAAAGGTCTCCACTCTATTTAATTTTTGATCTTTTTTTCCTAATTTCCACCTTATACTCCAGGGATTCACAAGAGATCTGTGAGGGTAAAAAAAAAAAAATCATCTCTTTGTTCAGTAAACATGTCCACACTGCCCGCCATTTCCCCACTGAGCGTCCAGTATCATTCGAGTCCTACCTGGGCAAGGCTGGGGCAGAGAGGGAGTGACGGAAGCCTGGGTAGTAAGACAGCAAATATGAATGCACCCCACTGGGTGTAGGCTGCAGACAGTGTGTTCCATGCCATGGGGCTAGCTTGTGCAAAGGCCAGAATGGAAGCAAGCAGGAGTGGGCCTGGTGTGTTGGGAGGAAGTAGAAGGGGTTGGATCCTTGTGAGGAAGTGGAGGGCTCCTGAGGAGGCTGGACCTGGTAATGGAAGCCCTTCTGGGAATTCTTTGGAAACCATGTGAAGTTTCCAAACGTGTCAATTCAGATCCTTTAGGAAGCTGGTGTTGGATAAAAGATATAAGCAGGCAGGGATGCTGCCACTAGAGGTTGTAGCCGGCCACTGTGCTCTGTCACTGGAAAAAAGTGTGGCCTTGGCTCAAATGCTGCAGTGCAGCCTGGGGACCCCACAGCTGGAGGCTGTCAGCTAGCTGCACTTCTGGCAGCTGGACAGCCAGTTTTTTTTTTCAGGGTTTGTTGTATTTGCTGTAGTTACATCCTTGGGGTGTATGTGGGGAGAGGTTTCCGCCTCGCCTTCCTACTCCATCATCTTTTTGCAGCATATCTCAGGAAGTCCTTTCTTGAAGGGAAATCCATGACTCACCCAGGAGGGCAGTGGGGAACCATGGGAGACGTTTGAGCAGGGAGGACGGGTCAGATTATGGGTATTAGAAATATCTCTCTGCAGCCTCAGGGGCAGATGGGAGGGGATGAGCTGGGGCCTGGGAATCCGGGGACAGATGTTGGACCAAGAGCTGAAGGATGGAGAGGAGGTGTTGAACGGTATACTTTGGAGGTAATGCCCTCAATGTCAAGGCTTTGGACAACAGAGCTGTCCTGTGAGGTGGAGAAATGTTTCTGTGCTTCTCCCAACTTCAAAAGATTATGCAGTTGGTAAAAAATTTAAATAGTTTAGTAAAAATTCAAAAGGGTTTACAGTGAACATGAGCCTCTGTGTCCTTCCTCTGACCCCAGATTTGCTGAGATATAATTGACAGGTAACATTGTGTAAGTTTAAGGTGTGCAACATGGTCATTTGATATATGAATGTATTGCAAAATGACTGCAATAAGGTTAGTTAATATAGTTAACACATTTATCACCTCACGTAAGCCTCTGTCTGATGCCAGCGTCCCAATCCCATCCTCGCCTTTGATTTTGTCCTGTGTCCTTCCAGACAGCATTCAGTGTATACTCACATTACCCTGGCCCCGGCCTCCCTCAGCTTGCTTACTCATTCTGTCGCATCCTCTGTAACTAAGAGTATGTCTAGAGCACCCAGCGTGCACATTGATAATATAATGTCAAGATCTTCTAATTTTTTTCCAAAATATAAGTTTTGCAAAATTAATTTTGTATTGCAAATTCAGTATTGGGAACAAGCCTTTTTATTTTTAAACAAAATGAAACATTATGGAGATTAGGTTCACCTGTATTGATCTCCCTGCCAGCCTAATCCCTTCTCTGTCCCCTGAAGGGTTTCTAGAGACATCAATTTCACACATCCTTTCACATCTTCCTCTTGGCAATATATACATATATATATATATATGTTGTATATATAGAATTGTGTGTATATATATTATATATAATTTATTACAGTTTAATATAAATGCATACACACATATTTGGTCCCTTGTTCTTTTCACTCAATAGTGTGTCTTAGAGCTCTTTCTTTTTGAGTACTGCAGAACATTGCATAGTTTACTCGGCTCACTCCTTTCTTGGGGACATTTATGTGAGCAATTGCAGTTTAACAAATATTGCTGAACTGGCTTTTGGCATCTCTGTACTGATTTATCGTGCAGTGTGTGATAAGACTTGTGATCCCTAGCTCCTCCTTTTTTATAGCTGTATAATATTCCAGCAGACAGATGTACCATCACTTGTCTAAACATTCCCTCATCCAAGGCATTTGTACAGTTTGGGACTTCTATTATTATAAGTCTGATGTGGTGAATATCTGTGTACACTGACCTTTGCTTACACATGTGGAAATCTCTCCAGGACAGACTCCTAGAAGTAACACTGCTGAATCAAAGACTATTTGAGTTTGCAATTTAATAGCTCTCAGAAAATCCACTCCTACAAACTGATTCTGAGAGAGACAATTTCTTCATATTTTCACTGACAGTATAGATCATGAAACCTTAAAACTTTTGCCAATCTGATAGATGAAATTACTACTATATTATTCTAATGAACATCACTTTATGGGTAAAGTTGAGCACTTTTTCACACATTGAGCAGCCATGCATATTTCTTTTTCTGTGAAGTGTTACTGTATCATTTGTCCTTTTTACTTTGAAATTTTTTGAGTTTTTTCTATTGATTTATAACAATTTTAAATATAAGAAAAATTAGTTCTTTTTCTGGTATGCAAAAATTCTTCCCCAGATTGTTTTTTGACTTTAGTTTTGCTTTTTGTTTTATTTTTTGTAGTCATATTTATTAATTTTTTTTCTTTTATAGCTTCTGGCTTTTTAAAATCATGCATTGAAGAGCCTTTCATGCTCTAAGACTAAAATGTAAAACTCTTGTTTGTTTTCTTCAAATAGGTTTATTTATTTAAAAATGCTTTATTTAAAATTTAATCTACTTAGGATTTCTCTTATTATTTTTTATATTTAATACCTTTCTTTTCCATGTGAAATCTATGTCAGTTTAAGTACTGAGGTAGGAATCAGTTTTTTTGTCCAAATCTAATTGTCCCAGCAGAATTTTTTAAAATTTAAAAAAATTTTTAAATTTTGTTATCATTAATCTACAATTACATGAAGAACATTATGTTTACTAGGCTCCCCCCTTCACCAAGTACCTCCCCACACCCCATTACAGTCACTGTCCATCAGTGTAGAATCACTACTTGTCTTCCCTGTGTTGCACAGCCCTCCCCATGCCCCCCCCACATGCTAATTATACATGCTAATCGTAATACACCCTTGCTTTTTCCCCACCCTTATCCCTCCCTTCCCACCCATCCTCCTCAGTCCCTTTCCCTTTGGTAACCGTTAGCCCATTTTTGGGTTCTATGATTCTGCTGGTGTTTTGTTCCTTCAGTTTTTCTTTGTTCTTATACTCCACATATGAGTGAAATCATTTGGTGCTTGTCTCTCTCCGACTGGCTTATTTCACTGAACATAATACCCTCTAGCTCCATCAATCCTCTGTATGAGGGTTTATTTCTGGACTCTATTCTGTTGTATTTATTTATATACTCATAGATAGCCACCCATAAGTCTTCATTATCATGTGTTTGAAAACATTTTCATAGTTGATAAAATTTGTCCTATCTCATTATTTTGCTTTAACAATGTTTTTCTTGTTTTCTTATTTTTACATTGAAAATTTATGATTGGGTTGGGTAGTTTGAAATATACTCTTGAAAATTTTAATTAATTAGGGTTTTGGACCTCCAGCACCAAGGATGGAGTTAACTGTGGTCCTCAATTCATGACTAATGTCATCATTTCTCCATGCAATACTCATTCCGATTCATCCCAGCTCTCCACTTACTTCAACAATATGATCTAGGCAGCTTGATCCTTTTACTTAAATAATGTCTTGTTTTGGGTGGGTGCATTTTAAAGTCACAGGTATGTGTTACAGATCTCAGACAGGCTCTTATTTTTTTCAGAAATGTAGCACTATGCCTTTATTAGACACCCATGGTTCTATGTAGATTTAGATTACTGCTTTGAACTATCATATAGCACTTTCCTCTTCAATCCCAACAGCCCAGTCCCTGGGCTGCTTCCATCTCATCACTGCAATGAACATCTCTGTGCATGCGTCTTTGTTTACCTGTCTGAGAATCTCTCTGGGATCCATACCTAGGAGCCAGCTTGCTGGGTCATGAATCCCACATCGTTTTTCTTGACTGTGTTGACTCCTCACGTAGTAGCCCCTCATGTAGCTACTCCCCTATTAGTGCATAAAGTCTCCCTAACCACACCTCAGTCTCTCCTAGCATAATGCTAATACTTGCCTTGAGCGGATGTGAAGTAACACCTCATTGCTGTATGATTTCCATTTCCCTGATAACCAGTGACTTTGAGCATCTCTACATATTTTAAATCTCTGTGTTTGAGCTTTCATGAATTTCTAGATCATGCCTTCTGCCTACTCTTCTCTCGAGTCACCTGTCATCTCTCTTGCTGGTTTGCAGGAATTCTTTGTACATTCAAGATACTGTTCTTGATCTATGTATTTATTGCAGGTATGTTCTGTGAATCTCTCCTCTGACTGTGAATTTGACCTGTGGTGTCTTTTATTAAAAGGAAATCCTTAATGCTGTGTGTATTTATCCATTCTGTTTGTCTTCCAGTTTGTGCTTCCTGTCACAAAGATGTCTCCTACATTATCTTCAACTTTATGGTTTTACACTTCACATATAAAAGGAGACACCACCCTGTATATGGAGTAGATGAAGATCTAGTTCTTTTTGTTTCTATGACACCAGTAGTCAGAGTACCTTCTACCAAACTATCCACCCATTGCCCAGAGGTTTGTGGGCCTCCTTTACCAGACACTGTGTTTTCACCTATTCTTGTGCCTGTCTCTGAACTCTGTATTTTGTCCCATGGGTCTGTTTTCCTGTTCTTGCAATAACACCACACTGATGTAGAAAAAATTATTGCACTTGGTAATAGGTCTCAGCATCCAGTAGACTGAATGATCTTTCTTTGATCTTTTATGTTTAAATTGGCCTAGCTCTTGATGAACTTAATTCTTTCAAATTGAAAAAGATTACCAAATTCCAAAAAAAAAGAGAAAAACCCAGCGAGATTTTTATTGCATTACATTAAATATATTGATTAATTTAGGGAGATTCGACACCTTTAGAATATCAGGTTATCCCACCTGAGAGTGTGGAGTGGAACTTATTCATTTGAATAACCTTATAAGTCCATTATAGAGTTCTTTTTACCCAATTATGTATTTTAAAGTTTTTTGTGCAAACATATTCTCACTTTTAGGGATACCCTCTGAGGGTGGTGTTTTGCTCAAAAATGCTTCTGAAAATTCAGAAAGGCTGTTTTCTTTGAGATTTTGATTTCCTAAGGCTTAAGTCTCTGGTCCATCTTTGGCAGCAGAGGGGAGCCTAGTAATCATTGGGGGGTTTCTTAGGGACGACCTGGCCCAGTTGCCCTTCCTGACCATGTGCATCAAGGAGAGTCTGCGCCTGCACCCCCCCGTCACGGGCATCTCCCGCTGCTGTACCCAGGACCTGGTGCTCCCAGACGGCCGAGTCATCCCCAAAGGTGCCCTGGAGGACAGGGCGGGGTGGGGGGTGGTCCCATTAGGGGACCTCCTCCTGACTGCCCCCTCCTCCACCGCAGGGAATGTTTGTATCATTAGCATCTTCGGGATTCATCACAACCCGTCAGTCTGGACAGACCCTGAGGTGAAGTCCCCCGCCACCCCCTTCTCTGTCCCTGGGGCCCGGTGAGGGGGTGGGGTCCTGCCTGGACCTCCACTGTAGCCACACCCGTCTTTTTTGGGGGTGTCTGGCTGTCCCGAGACACCCCACCCAGCAGCTCTGCCTCTCTCCTCCCCCAGGTATACAACCCCTACCGCTTCGACCCAGAAACCCCGCAGAAGAGGTCATCTCTGGCTTTTATTCCCTTCTCGGCGGGGCCCAGGTGAGGCGAGGGTGGTGGTGGAGTTAAGGGGTCATGCGAGCCCACGTGGGGGTCCCAGGCCCCGTAAGCCCCCCTCTTTATGCGCCGGTCCCGGGCCAGGGTCCACGTGCAGTGGGACGGGGATGAGTTCCGGGGCGCAGTCAGAGCCCGCACTCCCCTCCGCAGGAACTGTATCGGGCAGACGTTTGCCATGGCCGAGATGAAGGTGGTCCTGGCGCTCACGCTGCTGCGCTTCCGCGTCCTGCCTGATGACCAGGAGCCGCGCAGGAAGCCGGAGCTCATCCTGCGCGCGGAGGGCGGGCTGTGGCTGCGGGTGGAGCCGCTGAGCGGGGGCGCGCAGTGACGCCCACTGCCCGGCCCGTGTGGGTCAGTGTGACCCTAAACACTCCTCAGTCTGCGGATTCCCAGGAATAAAAAACTGTGCTGTCACGTCCGCTCTAGCCTATCCCAGAGCCAGCAGGAACGCTTGCGACCTGCAGAGGGGTCAGGGGGTGGGCGGGCTGGTGTCTCTGAGCCTCAGCAGCTGACCACAAGCCCCCCACGCCGACCTGAGGTCTCCCGGAGCCCAGCATGGATTTCATCCTGTGGGCAATAGGGAGCCATGGGAGGTGTTTGGGCGGGAGAGGGACCAGGGCTAAGGACGGACTTAAGGGACACATTTGAGGCTCTGAGTCACACTCTAGCCACCCTGACCTCCGTTCCAATCTTGTAATATACCCAGTGTTTTCCCACCCCTGAGTCCTTCACTGTTTCTCTGGTTACTGCATCACTGTGTGGACTTAAACATAAGCCTGGTTGCTTTATAGTTTGTGTTTGCTTATTGAGCTAACGGTATCAATTCTATTGTCTGCTGTTCTTGCTGGTTTTCACCCATAAGGGCAGCATTCTTGTGTGCCTGGTCATCTTTTCTTGGGCATTGGCCATCATCTTTGAAATACCATTTTTAGACTTTGAAGAGGGCAGCTTTCCGTGAGGAGGAATCCGTGGTCAAGGATCATGTTAAGGCTGAAAGCTTCTTGTGTCCTGGGCTACTGAGGCAGCTTAAATTCAAGCTGCAGTTCAAGCCCTCTCACCCTGAGGGCTGTAGCGTTTTTGAGGCCTCCACTTAGATGAGGAGGGTCTTCTTACCATTTCTGTCCTTGTGTCACTCTAGTCCTTGATTTTTCTCCCTCCACCGTGAGGCCATCAAAACACAGCTTCACATTTTCCTGACTTGAGAAATATCTCTGGGGCAAAAAATATCACTCTTGTTCATTTTATCTGCAGGTTTCTTTTTCCATTTGAGTGGTGTGTTTGTAATTCTCTACTGTCTTTTCAGGTCATTTATTTATTTAAGAAATTGCAAAAGTAGCTTTGAGGATTGTTTTCAATAAGCTGGAAGTTTAATCCAAATAATAGCTTGACATTAATGGAAACAAGAAGTTTCAATTGGGATTTTCAATAGTCACAATCCAGTTACTACTCCACCAATACTTTGATGCATTAAGGGTGATAATTGCCTTAAGTGTATAGATTTCCAGACCACAAAAGCCCACATCATGGTTTAAAGGGAGAGGACTGCACATCACCCAGAGATCCTGGACTTCAGGCTGAATGGAGGGAACAGGTAGTCTTGGGCATTTACTGCCCTGGGGATGCTGTGAGTGTGTGCACAGCTTAGGAAGACGGATACACATCAGAGGTGTGGGTAGTCAACAATGTTTTGGTCACAGACTGTGTAGATATTGCTTTTGTGTATCCTGATACCCAGTTTAGCTTTCTTAGAATCCCTCATTTTTGGCCGGCTGAAATACAGATTATATTCAAAAGCTTTTCTTGAAGCTAGGTTGGTTAAATGACTGTACCCTGTTTTATATGGAAAAATCCAAGTTACATGGCAGGTCTGGAAACCTTCCTGAAGAGAAACCAGGACACCCTGGTTGCCCAGCCTTCCACCTGCTTCCTCTGTGCTTCTTGTGATATTGACCTGGTAGTTGGAGCTCCATCTCAGATCACGAGGGGAAGACAGTTCTCTAGGAAAGGCGGGGCAGACAGCTAAAGGCAGTCAGGGTGAGAGGTCCCTGGACCCACTGCACCCTGGGCTTGTATTACCAAGGTCGCAACCCCGGTTTGCTATTAACTAGCTGTCTGGCTCGAGAAAACTCCTTCTCTCTCTATACCTGAGTTCCTCTATCATATAGTGGTAGTTAGCTTACTGCACTGTTGGGGAGACTGACTTAGCAAGCATGGGCAACGGTTACTGAGTCACTAACTATTAAACTTCAGTACTCAGTGAGTGTTCACCTTCTCTTTTCTTTTTGCATCATGTTCTAATGTAAAAAGCTTGAAAGTCATAGCAGTGAAATGTAAGTTTTGGGAAACGTGGCCGTGTAGGGAAAATTCCATGGCCAAGATCCTCACCTGATCCTAATGGACTCACCCACTGTGCACTTGCAATGATGTAATATTTGACCTGCTGCACAGGTATTCTTGCACTTGTTGGCAATAAGCCATTATTATCTGTGTTACTGTATAAAGAGCTACACCCAGTGTTCAGCACAGAGCCTGAAGCAGAGGCAGGGATGGAGATAGACTTGCTGGATGCAGGTGTGACTCTAGTGCTCAACCTGCCATCACAAGGATAAAGCTTGGTAGAAGTCTTTTTACTCTCCCCCAATATTCTTTTGTCATTATTAGGTCTCCTTGAATCAAAAGCAAACTTACCCAGAGCTGGGATCCCCCTTGGCTTGCAGGTACATTTTGGCATAGTTGACAGGATTCACTGCAGACAGAACAATGGAACAAGCTGCCCTCATAGGAGGGGTGCTACAATGGGCTGTCCCTACAAAGAAGGAAATACTGGAGAAACCTCTTATGGATGATGAGATACTTGGGTATCCTCCAATGGGCATGTGGTCCAAAGTGGCTCTCCTTCTAGAGGAGTGGGCCCCTCCCCAGGACTCGGGGGAGGTGGAGGTGTTACCTGAGGCAGTGCTGGAGGCGCTCTACAAAATAGAGAAGTCCTTAAAGAAACAGGCTGCCCACGTGGTGGCAGGAGCTGTTTGGCCTTTTTTCATTGTATTAACAAAGGCCATAAAGGAGAAGGATGTACTCCTGCACTCCTGCGAGAAACACGGGAAGAGGCAGCATGAGGATGCAAACTGTGAGGTGCTGTGGAGGAGGTAAAAGATTTGTTGAAGATTGAGATGGTGTCACTCAAAGTGCTGTAGAGAAGATGAAGGATGCAGTGCTGACTGAGGTGGAGGTGCTCTGCGGGGCAGTGAGAGATTTGCCATCAGCTCCAGAAGTGGTGGGGGGTAAACAGCGGGAGAATGGGGAGGCAGAGAAGCACCAACCCCTCCTCTATTGAAATCCTGCCTGGTAGTAATGAACATAAAGATGTAGCAACTACAGTTTCCTCCAGGAGAGGTGCAGTCCCCTCCCCAGGTCATACAGCACATTGTGTTCCACCCCTATACACAGGAAGAGCTGGTGGATTTGGGTTCCCAGTTTTGGCAGAAACTCCTGGAGTCCATATCAGCCTGGCACCTGTGCCTTTGGGATGCAGGCATGGATGGGATTATTCTGTCCGAGTCAGAAATGGGAAAGCTGGCTTCCCTGACAATTCATCCTGCCTTGCAGCAGCGATTACAAAATGCATACCAGATCCCAGGCAAGCCCTTTATTCTCAAGTGGCTTATGGCCACACTGTGCACTGTATGGTCCAATCAGGGCGGTTTATGATCATCTTTGGCTAGATGGCAGATGTAAGCTGAGCTCTAACAGGCATTACAGGAGTTGGGCATGAAAAATGCCATTTGTAACCCAGTAAATCATGACCTGAATGAAGAGCAGTTTATAGCAGGGATGAGGGATATGGTGCTACAAAAGTCTCCCCAGTCCTCCTTTGGGCCCCTAGAGTCCATTCCTGCCCATCACATAGGGAATCCCGTATATGTGGTTATCTGTACTCTGTGATATTTGGGGGAGGCTTAAGCAATGATGGCACAGAAGGGATTGTGGTCTGCTGCTCGGAGGAAGACTTTAAAGGGCCCCGTGTGTTAGGGTGCAGGCTTCCGAGGCTTCCCCAGAGAACAAACTACACAGGCATAGAGATGTAAATTCAAGCAAAGTCTTTATTCAGCCAACTAGTTGGGGTCCAAGTCAGCCCGATGCAGTGGGTCTCAACAAGGACCCCGAGCACTCAGAGCCAAGGGTTTATATAGCAATTTCAAAGCACTTAACTCATAGCAATTTTCTATAACTATACATTATTCTTGCAAGACATATATCCTGGGGTTAAGCAAGGGCAGGGTAAGACTACTCCTCAATGGTTAGGGAGGTTCTGCACGATAAGCTTGGTATGTAAGATTTACTGACCAAGGTTAGCTGACCAAGGGTCACAGCTGCCCACCACCCGGTGCTCATGATTAACTTGTTTTTCAAGGCCTTACCCAGTTCCAGTTTTTCTTTCTAAGTCACATACTCAGAAAATGGCTTCTAGGCCTTTAAGATGGCTATGCTTATGCTAACCTATTTCTATTCTTACATTCCCCTCTTCTTCTTGTATCTATTTCAATCATGAAATTAGGGGTCATCTGTTTGGTTAACACTCTGATAGTTCTGTCTCAACACTATGATTTGCACGGTGCTAATGCGTTCTTTGATAAAGGTAACACATGGAGTGACTCCGGTTTGGCGGGCCTACTACTTGTTAGAATAAGCTGGGGTGGTGCTGATTACTTCTGTCTTGTTGTAGAGGGAGGTGTAAGTTTTAGGAACTCTCTCAATGCAGGTTCTTTGCCTACTTGCAGAGGATAAAGTGAGTCTCGGTCTTTGTCTTCTACAGATAGGGACTCTAGCTGCTGCTAGGGAAAAGGGGCGATGACCGCTCTGGCTGCTTCGTGCTGAGAAGGGGGTGCAGTAAAGGGTGCAGCTAGGTCTCTATTACTGGTCAGTTGAGAGGGCTTCAGAAGGCTGGCGCTTCTATTACTATTTGCAGTTTTGTGGCTTCTAGGCAAGATAAAACAAATTGTGTTATTAGGTTATGTAGCAACATCTGGAGTTGGATTTTCTATTCTGGAGGCTGCAGTTATTGAAACAATACTTTTCTCTAAAATCACCCTCATTTTTATTAGAAGTAACCAGGTTAAGAAAATAATTAACAGCTGGCTTGATCATTTGCACAAGTGCAGCAAGAAGAGCAATTGATTACACAGGCTCTTTTAAATATGCTTTGCTGGAACTTTTTGTAAGGAATTTCAGATTGAACTTTTAAAGGCCTCTTGAGGCCAGACAGCCAAGCTAGACTTGCCATCAGGCTTTGCCTGCAGTACCTGTAGATTTGGATGAATTCTTCTCTTCTCGAGGTCTCTGAACCTGCCAGGAAGTGACCTTCTTTACTCACCTGGTAAGGCTGCTGGGAACTCTGTAAGCAAGGTACCAGGCCAGTTCTTCCAAGGGGCTTTGTTGGCTTTATAAAGTCAATCTTAGTTCCTTAAAGTTGTTCACATCTGAGTCCATGCACATGTCTCTCAGGTATGACATTCCAGTCAAAGCCCTGGCAGTATAACCAGTGTTCTTAAGTAGTCTTCTCACAAGGAAAGCAGATTCTTATTGAACTCATGCAAATAAACATACTGCCATGGAATACAAAAACAGTCACTGAAAGTTTTTAAACTCTGGAGGGATCAGGTAGAGAGAAGGAAGTTTCAATTCTGCTCATAAAGATAGTCATTTACTAAACTGTTGTCAGTTTAAGAGAACAAGGTTAAAACACTTTATCAGCAACATTTGAAACAAAAAGACACAAAATCATTTTCTTTA